ATGGTCGAGCCCGGTGCAGCCGTCTGCGGGAGTCGGGAGGCGGCCACCAGTCAGATCCTGAGCCAGGCTCTGGGCTGATAAAGGAACATGCAAGGGGAGCATTTAGAACAGGAACCAAGGAGACTCCCCGTACCCCTAGGAGTGCTGTTTGAGCTCAGGTTTAAAGAGTAAGAAAGGGGTGTGTGTGTGGAGGAGAAAGAAAGACGCTCGTGAGCGAAGACCTGCACAGAGCCCCGTGTGACGAGGATGATGGATGGAGTGTCAGAGGACACCAGCCTCCAACAACTGAAGGGCCAGCAGGCACAATTGTACGGCGATAATAGATAAAGATTATAGTAAAGCCATCAAGGATAAGAAAGATAGGAGCGAGAGTAAAATGACAGAGTCAGACACATTTTATGTGATGTCCTGACTTGATGGTCCACATGGAACTGGGAGGAAAGCGCGCCTTTGCTATCTTGGGACATTTGTAGGTAGCTGTAAGACATGATGCATATTCAGTAGTTGTATGCGTCACAGCTGGGTGGTATGAGGAGGGTCGGGTGACTCGGTGGGAAGAGATGTCCAAAGGCTGTCTTTCTGCAGGGAGATAGAATCAACCAGGTGCTCGCTGTAAGGCAGCAGAGCTGTTAGGGGAGAATCTGTGGGAGCGATATGTAAGGGACGGTGATGCACTGGACTTTACCTCTAACTTACCAAAGCGGAGGCTTTCCTCCCATGGAATACCAGTTTCCCAGGTTCCCTCTGTTATCAGTTAGGGAATCTAGTGCTCGTCATATTTCCCTCTGTTTGTGTCCCACAACAGAGAGAGTAAGGACGAGTTAGCATCAGTCTGAGCTGGAGAAACACGCGGGTCAGCCAGGCCCTTTCAGGCATGTGTCAGGTGATCCAAAAGGGATTCATTGGCTAGTTATTCGCCAGCAGCAAGTACTCGAGCACCTGTGTGCCCCGAGCCGTGTGCAGAACACTGCCTGCAGTGCGATGGGGTTCTGGGAAGGACGTTTAGAACCCTTCGGGAAGGCAGCGGCGCGGTTAGCACCTCCTGCTGGCTGCTGTGGTGTCGATGCTCACTCAGTGGTACCGGGTGACAAAGTAGAACTGCCCTATAGGGTTTCTTGGCTGGACTCAGCGCCAGCCTCTTCTCCTGAGAAGCTGGCAGGTGGGTTTGAACTGCCGGCCGCACAGCACTTCCCACTGCACCACAGCGTGCCTTCTAGAACCTCTCGAGTGCTCTAGACATGCTGTCGGGAGAAGGACAGCGTCGTGGGTAAAGTGGAGGCGCAGGAGAAAGAGGAGTGCCTTGGCACCGCGCTGCCACAACGGGCTCAACCATCAGCACAGTTGTGAGGATGGTGCGGGACGGGGGCGGTTCGTTCTGTGGCACACAGGGTCGCTGTGCATCAGCAGCAACTCGATGGCAGTGTTTGGTTTTTCAGTTTCGTGATATTTATCTGACACTCACTGCCTGCAAATAGCTCTCTGGGACATTGGCTCTTGGCAGAAGGGCCTGCCTGTCACACTCTTGGTCTTGACCCCTCCTCTTAGGGACCGTGTGACTGTTCCGGGAGCAGCATCCCTCAGATGAGCTCACAGGCAGTGCCCCGCTCAGGCTTCATGACTGTCCACGAAAGCTTCACCCAGAGCCTGGCCTCCACTGTCACCTGTTACTAC